CGTGTAGTGTGTGTGTGTGTGTGTGTGTGTGTGTGTGTGTGTGTGTGTGTGTGTGTGTGTGTGTGTGTGGTGGTGGTGTGTGTGTGTGTGTGTGTGTGTGTGTGTGTGTGTGTGTGTGTGTGTGTGCGTGCGTGTGTGTGTGCGTGCGTGTGTGTGTGCGTGCGTGTGCGTGCGCGCGCGCGTGCGCGCATGTTTAATCTATTATTAATTGTTTCAATCTTCCGATCTTCGTGACTTTAACACTGTAATGCCGACCTGCTTTCTTCATGAAGATGAAAATGAATGAACTCTTCATCCATATCTCTTTATAATTTTGACATAAATATCTTTTTACAAATCTTTGAGATTATATAATATAAATCGGGTACCGAATATAATCTCATCACTTATCAAATAGAGATAAACTTACATAATTTGCAGAACAGAACTTATTTGTCATGAAGCATTTCAGTTATAAGTTATCTAGTATCATATCGTTTCATATCGTATATGAAATAATAATGACTAATATTATCTTATTTACTATGTACCGTCGTCAATCTTATAATAATTAATTTCTTTTTATTTTGCTTTACGATTTTGTGACAGTAGTATAATTTAAGTTTGGCATAAACAAGAATAATTTTTATTTTTTATAATTTTACTTTTAAAACTTAATTATATATATAATAGTTATAGCATTTTTTTAGAACACGTTGATGTTATGAGTGTACTTTGTTTATTGCCATAGAACAATCCTTGAAATATGAATGTTGGAAGTAAACTTTGATTTATGATAACGAAAACATAGCTCATATTAATTTCGGTAATTTCGCATCATTTGCGAGTTAATCACAATAATATCAGCGCTGTGATTCCGGTGCCATGACGCTTGACCGACTACTACACCAATAGACATTGATTTACTTTCTTGCGGATCTATTGTTTTTGTAATATAATTTGCAACGCGTGCCATAGACAAAAGCACGCAACTTCGAACAAGATTATATCATCGTGATAATTTATAAATATCTTAGCTGCTATGTATAAAGTTTTTATCTTATCTAAGATCAAAGTCGGCGGAATATATTCGAGAGAGAAAGTAATTGTAATAATTATTTTTTTAAACAATACAAATATTTGTACTGAAAATTTTTTTATATTATCGTACTTTTTCTATATTCTTGATCTTGAAAATAGAATTTTGCAATTTTATCTTCTCTTTTCACCGTGTTATCTTATATATAAATCGAAATCGTTTATCGAGACAAATTACAAAAGTCGGCGCTAAGTATCATTATGCATAATGTATGTAATAAGATGTTTGAAATAAATCGACATCACATACAGTCGGGTGGTACACATTATTTATATACTGCGGATTAAATCACGTATACGGTATTGGCCGTGGAAAATGAATAATAGAGTAGAAATACGCACAGTTATAGTTATGGAAAGTACTACTGATAATGAAACGGGTTACGTAAACGTACATGTTTACATTTCAATTGACGATTAAAGCTGACATTTATATCGAAACCCTTTGGCGTAAAACGGAAAAATAAACCACGATAACGATACTGCGTCTCGGATTTTTTTTGTATTCGTGGTTACGTACGTGGTTTCGCAATGAATATAACATCTCAATCTCCGCAGTTAAAAGTTTGCAATGAAATAAGAAATAAGCTTTACATTTTGATTATCTTATTGATCAAAACTTTTTACGCAATTTACAATATATCTCTTTCTTTTGTGATCTTGGAAAATTATTTATTTACAAGAATTAACATTAAAGATAGAAAGAGATGATACGAAAATTTAGAATAAAAGCAGGAACTTGAATAATAAAAAAAAAAAAAAAAAAAAAAAAAAAAAAAAAAAAAAAAAAAAGAAAGAGAAAAGTAAAGAAAAAAACGTCTTTTTTAATAAAAATAATACACGAGATTGCAAAACCTAATTAGGCAAATTAATAATTGAAATATTTTAATGTTGTTATTTTACTTTAACTATTTACTTTATATATTACTTTTATTTTACCTCTGTAATCTTCTTCCGAGAATGTTTTGATATACATCTTTTATGATTACAGTGTTCGTGACGATTTATACATCTGGCTTTGGTATTACGGCTGGCGTTCACAGATTATGGTCGCATAAGGCGTACAAAGCGAAATGGCCCTTGCGTTTGCTTCTAGCCTTTCTCTTCACGATAACAGGACAGGTGTGTAAACCTTCATGTAATATAACACTCAAGCTTTGTGTACACGATGCTAGAAATCGATCTGAGATCTTGGAACAGAGAAAATGTTGACCAATCGCATTGGCTATTTCGTCCAATGATCCATGCAATGTTTTCTCCGTTCGAGATCTTAGATGTATTTTTAGCATCGTGGACATAAGGTTTAACATTAAAATAAATATTAAGAATATTCTTCATATTCCAACGTTCAAGAAACGTTGGAATTATATCTTCATATTTATTATTAAGACCATGATCATGATTGCATTATTATGTCGTAATTACATTTAATACATATGTAATTCAAATTACATAAGATTACATTTATAATATATATGTGCAAGTATGTTATAATATCGATTATAATATTTTTTTTTCTTACTAATTTTTGTCAAAGATATTTTTAACAAAATCTTCTTCTTGTGCAGAAAGATGTGTATACGTGGGCGTTGGATCACAGAGTACATCACAAATATAGTGAAACCGACGCGGACCCCCATGATGTGAGAAGAGGTTTCTTCTTCGCTCATGTAGGGTGGCTTTTTACGACACCCCATCCTGATGTTGTTGCTAAACGCAAGGCAGTCGATATGAGCGATCTAGAAGCGGATTCCATCGTCATGTGGCAGAAAAGGTATGCGGTTTATTTTGTACATTCGTATCGTGTATTCATTTTCATGTTATTAATATTCTAAAAAAAATAGGGCAAAATAGAATATATATATATATTAACAATATATTTAATAATTATTGTATTCTATTTTTCGAAAATTTTTCTTTCTTTTGATACAATATTAATTTTATATCAACTTATATATAGATTGTATATACCTCTCTTTGCGCTTCTGACTATCGGATTACCAGTGGGGATTCCTTGGTATTTCTGGTCGGAATCGCTGTGGATATCGTTCTGGGTCAACTTCAATTTTCGCTTCTGCATCAATTTGAACATAGCTTTTTGCGTCAACAGTGTGGCGCATATATGGGGACAGAAACCCTATGACAAGTACGTATTGAATTTATCGAAAATTATTGAAAATAAACAGCTATTTAGTCTCATCAATGTTTTATACACTGCGGAGATTTCGTTTAAATATTATTCCTAAAATATAAATTAATAACTTGTTTATAGGAATATCTCGCCAGTGGAGAACATCGCAGTATCAATCGCCGCGCTTGGCGAGGGATATCACAATTATCATCATGTATTTCCATGGGATTACAAAACTGGCGAATTAGGCGATTATTCGTTTAATATGAGTACTGCTTTCATCGATGCATTTGCGCGGATCGGATGGGCCTATGATCTAAAATACGTCTCGCCGAATATGATCTATCGTAGGGCGCATCGATGTGGAGATGGGAGTCACGTTTGGGGTTACGGTGATATTGATATCTCGAAAGAAGATCTGGTAGAATTGGATATGATGAATAATCACGAACTGTGAAAAAAACTGAAAAATTCGCAACAAAAACGTGTCAGCTTCTCTCGGATAAATAAAAAAAAATAAACATTTATAAATCGATAAAATGTTTTAATATTAAAAATAAGTGAAATTTTTACAATCACGGCTGAATCTCTATAGGTATTAAATATTTTTTATATTTATATAATTTTAAAAAACAGTTATTACGTATTAAGATCTAGCCAAGATTGTAAAGGCTTTTCTTATTTCTAGTGTTAAAAAAAAGAATACGTAGAGGAGAAGCATTTCCTTGTACGTTATATGTGGACCATATGAAGTCATTCATAGTAAGTAACTCGAATTAGGATATATATATATATATATACGGAGATTTGAGAATTTCCGTAACTTTAAGTTCCATACAGATTGCATATGCTACTGGAAAATGTTTATAATGATTAGAAATAAAAGGATATTTTAATTGCAAGTTACTTCATAACAGCAGTTAATTCTCGATTATGAACAAGTAAAATAAACTGTTTTATAATTACATATAATTAACAACAATCACAATTTATAACAACAATCACAATTTATTTATAAAATTTATAGTAATATTATACATATTTGTTGTATATTTATGAGATTTGTTAGCATTTGTTTGTTGCAATGAAATAATGTATTTTATTGTGACAATGTACAATGATAAAGATATGAACGATAAATTACAACTATGCATATTACAACTATATATAATCGAGAGTTTATGTTGTATGTGTTTCAGGGAAATTATGTTTAATATAATACGTATTATTACGTTTTATGTAGTATAAAGTTGTTACTTCTTTTGTTACTGTTACATATTGCATTATAAAAATTTTCTATTTTATTGGACATGAATGACAGAAAGTGTACAATAATATATATGAAACAAATCTTATATTTGATATGTTCTATAATAAGATTATACACACACACACACACACACACACACACACACACACACACACACACACACACACACACACACACATATATATATATATAT